CTGAAACTGTCAGACCTGTCTTTGATAAAATGAACTGTGTTCCAAGTGCCCTCCAAACAAAATCTCTCATGAAAGACCAGAAATAGATGGGATACCATGGAGAAAAAGCAAAAGGCAAGATGAATGAAACTAAACAACGAGATACCATTTGAAGTATAATATATGAAAAATGGCAGTTGTACTTAAGGGCAGGAAGAGAATGTAAAATGGTAAAGCAAGAAGGAAATGAATAGAGACAGGATATAAAATGCATACACAAATTCTTATGATCCAGATTTACTCCAGGCACTTCCCCGCTCGCACTGGATATGAGGTCATTTGTGTTCATTTTTGTGCTTGAATATCATATTTATATAAATATGTTTGAACCTTCACGTACTTAGAGTGCCATTCACTATGAGCTGTTGTTATTTTAAAACATAGAAATACAGAAGGTATTATTTATTGATAGAACCTATTCTAATTTCTAGTGTCATAATCTAGCAAAGCAATACATTAAGAGAATGAACCCCTTTTTTTAAATAAAATTTGATACAATTTTCACAAACCTTCTAAAATATCCCCTGATTTCCATTAAGAACATCATGATGATTCATTTATACTTACCCATCTTTCATGTTGGTGATTAAAAAAAAACAAATCAGTTTTAAAATTATTCTACTTTTAAATATATATTTGCCTCATTCTTCTATTTCCTTTAATAAGCTTATTTTGAGTTCATGTAAAATTTGTGAAACCTAACAAACTCCAGAGTTCATGGATAAACCACAAATTACCAACTAAAATTGATAATACAGAGAATTTATGCAACTAATTCAATCAAAACACCTACTTATTTCATTCAAATTAGAGGTAAATGGAATATTTGTCTGAATTACACTTCATTTTACAAAACAGACCAGAGGCTCTCAAAATGCAATAGATAATAAAATTCTACCCAGATGCAAACAGGTTTACCCAGAGATACATTTCAAGGTACAGGCGATTCTTGACTTATTTGTTTAAATTTACTAGATCCCTAACTCTTGAATGTGATGAGATAGGGGACAGAAAGAAGGGGAGAAAACACATTGTATTCTATTCTAATTAGTTTCAATAAGTGTTCTTCTTTAATGGTATTGTCAAAGTGTTGTATTGAAATGATCCTGTAGGGTTATTACATTGTTAACGCTTCTCTGCATTTGCTTAACTTACTACCATGACCACTAAAATATTTAGGGTATCTGCAGAGTGGAAAGTAAAGACGACTGTATTTTTAAGCAGATGCATTTGCATACTCATCCATTAAACATTAAAGACATTAAAACCCACAAAGTTTCTAAAAGGCATTTTAATGTGCAATTTTGAGGAACTAAAATGTCTTAATAATTTTATAATTTACCTACAAGGGACTGCCTAAATACTAAAATGATCACCTTTGTAAAAAGACCTAATCCGAACTGTGAGAGTTTTAGTTTCTCATTCGTATTCTCCGAAAAACAGTAAATGAGCAAGCACACTTTCTGCAGCCGGGAAGCCTGGAAATGTGTTACCTTGTGGAATATTTAAAGCAAGTTACCATTCTGGCTCTTTCATATGACTATAAAAGCAACCGAGCTCACAACACACCGTGCAATGGCGGATGATAGCAACGTATGGCATTATATCTACCATAAAATGAGAAATGTAATTGATTCACTCATATTTCTACATATGCCCAAAGCATTTAATGACTGTAGATTTGGAATACTGACAATGTTAATCATTTTAGTTAAAAAAAAACAGGTTATTTCTACTCTGTTCCATTTGTACTTAGTTGATGTGTGAACTGAGCAAAGGTGTCCTTGTTCAATAGAAATAGCCAAGTTTGGGAATACACTTAGATATATATATATATATATATTTTTGATTTCTCAGTATTATTAGTTTGAAGAACTATGAGGTTAAATAAATAAATAAATAAATAAATAAATAAAGATCTTTGCCTTTTGTAAGAACATGTTTTATGTATGATTGAAGTTTTTACAACACTCCGAAAAAGCCATCCGATGTTAGATTTAAAAATAAAATCAAAAGCATTTTCTGACATAGTACACATGAAAAATTGGAAATTCCAATATCTTCAATAGAAGTTGTAGAAAGTGTATGTCTCCTTGGAGTCTGACACCCACTTAACACAGCAGAAATTAAGGTACTATACTGTAAACAAAAAGTACAGTAAAGGACAGTTGGAAATTTACATAAGAATAGTTCATAAACATTTTGGTCTTTCCATAACAGGTTTTATATAAAATGAATAAAAAAACCTTTAGACAGCTGTCATCACTCTTGTTTGACCACTTTTCACTTATATGCACACGGACATATTTATATAGCAATATATTGATGCACCGTTACACGGATATTAAACTATGATTACTGCTTTGTAACTGAGATGTGCATTATCCAATCAACATTATCCATAGTTGAAATACTCTTACATTATGTATTCTTGTCATGTTGGATCTAGAAAAACATGAAAATATAACTTTACATTATTTCAATTATTTACATCAGTTCAAGCTTGACAGAGAAAAATTGATAAGCTACAATTTTTAGAAGAGTAGGCCCAGAGGTACAATAAATAGCATTGATTGTATAGAGTCATCTTTTTCATTTTTAAAAACTCATTTTAGGTACAATATGGAAACAATTAGTCTGCAATTTGGTCATTCTAGCACGTATTAGTAAAACTTAAAATGCACCTCCAACATTCCTGATGAGGAGAAATGCACAAAAATATCGTACTCTCTACGGATTTGTGATCAGGGATGACTAAATTTGGTGAAGAACATCATGATACCACATGCCCCCACGTTCCATGGTAGGGGCTGTTGTTTAATCCTACATCATCTTTCCCTTCTGTGGAACATAATCAATAAAAATGTTTTCAAGGCACTTAGTAAGATACCAAGTGCTACACAAAGGCTTACTTGCAGAAATAAGTAATTATTTTAATAAAAAAATATTAAAAATAACTATTGGATGGTAACAATTGTTTAAAACCCTAAATTAATTTTATTGGGAGGGGGGAGCTTTAATAGAAACAAATGGCCTTTGATGAAGGGAAAGAGAGCTCCTTTAAATTTTTTAATTAGAGAAATAGAAGCTCTTTAGTCAAAAGTTACAGAAACGTGATGTTTTGTCCCCATTGCGCATATTAAAATTGCCATTCCACTTGAGGGATAAGAATAAATACAATATATTAGGGTTGTTTTTATTGCTGGCAATGGGAAGAAACTACTTTGTAGGTGATTCAGAAGTGCTTAAATTATTCATAATATATAAGCTTTATAACAGCTCTTCTAAATTTGAAAACAAAAACTTAGATTTAGCTTATGGAATTTGATCGATTGGCAACTATTTAAAAAGCTACTTTCTAGGCATTCCTAACTTCATTTACAACTAATACTTCTCTTCTGCAAGCTCAAACATTTTAAAATGGATCCTCACATATTCTG